CCAGCATCCCTCAGTCATTACCTGTTAAGGGGTGTGGCTAAGCAAACACCGCCTCCAGCCAGGAACTGGGCTGCCCTTTCCCCAGCTGCCCTTCCCTATATAATCCAACCATTTTGGTTATCTGGTCTCTTTTTAAATCTACTGTCTACTTTTTGGGGGACTTCCTGGGGGGCTGTACCTGGTCCCACCATCTACCCTTTCTCATCCGCTTTCCCTCTCCTCACATGGCCCAGCTCAGTCTGGTCATGTCCACTCTGGACTCTCCCAGATGTCCTTGGCTCTGGCTATGCTCTCCCTGTTATACACAATAAACTTTCTCCTCCAGTGTGCTGGGGACCACTCATGTTCCATTTTTTTTTGTTTGTTTGTTTTTTCATTCACCCACAGACACATAAAAATATAGAATGACTCCAAACAGAAGTCAGTAGTAAAATAACCAGTAAGTGATAGGTTTTGGGGGTTGTTTCTAAAACTTGTTTTAAGATATAACTCATTCCCTGATTAGGTTTTCGTAGTTTGAGTTTTAAAAACAGTATTTGTGCTAAAGAACTGTCTTTTCGGGGTTCCTGCTGCTGTAACTGAGAACCATCCTGATCATGGCCTGTCACACTGAGGGAGACACAGGGAAGCTGCTATCTAACCTAGGCCCACTGTGGTGGCAGGCCTTCCCTAGAAAGGCCTTCCCCCTTCTCCATACTCCATTTATCTTTTTGTCTGTTTGTGTATTGTTCAACAATCTGTGACCGAGACAGGCTAAAGATTATTGTTTTTTGGGACTGGAGTCCGAATATCCGAATGATTCAAGATGAGAGCAGTGGGGAGCAGATGACATTTGGAACCACAAATATACCCTGACTTTGAGTTTTGGCCCCACTAGTCACCTATTCACCTACTCAGGATCCTCCTGATTAAATCTGTTCTTCGTCAGGTGTGGGTTTTCTACACTATCAGACACCTAAATCAGATCATATAAACCTATAATATCTTCTGTTGATCTGGAATACATTGGTTCCTCATTTAAATTCATCAGTCTCACACACATTTGCTTAGTAATGCTTACACACATATTTGCTCTAGACTCTAAGCAGAACCAGATACAAATATAATAATAACGAAAGACAACAGTATCTCACTCTTATCCAGAGCCTTCTGAGTTACCAAGGAAAATCCCATTTTGAGCCTCTGAAGTTCTGTGGCTTTAGATCAGGATACATCTGAATAGAATGTTCGAGAAAAAAGAACAAACAGAACCTTATTCCTAGGAAATGTAGGAGGTCGTAACCAGGTAGTTATGAGGAAGAAGGAACAAGTCCCCTGCTTCTCATCATGTCTATCAGTTATTTCATTTTGTTTGAGGGAAAACCAAAATATCAGAAAAACTACTCTTTTTTGTACTTATAAGCTTAATTATTGTAGAAAACTTAGAAATTTATATATGTATACAACAAGGAGGAAATACCTCTGTCCAGTCTAGTGGTCTACTTTTCTTTACCTGATGCTTTGGCGTATTTTCCAAGTGTTCTCCATAATCATTTCCGTTGTTGTTCATAACGATTTTATCAAGTGGTAACTTCTTTATCTGGTATGTTGCTGGAGAGGTAGTGTGCTGTTTTGTTGTCCTAAAGAACACTGGGGTAAATAGCTTCATTTAATATAAACAATGTATGACACATAGATTCAAACGGTAACAGTTAGTGGTTTTAGCAAACTTGTACTTTTGAACTGCCTTGATATGATTATACCAGTGTGGCTGGAATTCACCTAGTGTTCGTTTTCCTGAACACCAAAAGGACTGTCTTTCTTGAACCTGTCACTCTCATGGTTTAGACTGGAGCTTGTTCTCTGCCATTCATATTCATTCAAATAAGCTTGAAGAGATGTATGGTCAGCAGGGTTTCGTTTCTGTTTTTTTTTTTCTTCTTCTTCTTTCCTTCTTTCTACTTTTTCTTTCTTTTCTTATATTCTGTGAGTCACAACTTCTGTCTAGTATAGGGTTGTTCATTCAGAGAGTACTCAGTGTTTAATAAATGAGAGATTTAGTCCAATTTAGGATCAGCAAAAGCAGTGGAGAAGGCTATTTTTTTTTTTAAGCTCACTCCTCCATTCATGCTAATGGTTTTCATTTCCCTTAGGAGAGATGACAGCTAAGCAGTTGTGGAATTCTGACTGTTAAATGAGAACTGTGAAATGAAGTATGTTGTTGCCTTAATTCACTGACGTGGAAACCAGGACTCTAGTAGTTATTTGATTAAATGTTAATGAGCTCTGCTAAATTGACCTAACTCTTACTTTTGTGTACTAAATTTATGTCAATTAAAACAAGCTTGCTTGCACCCCTTTTTTTTTTTTAACATTGTTGAGTGAAGCTCTGCTTTCTCGGGCAATGCTGTGACTACAGTGGTTGTTTAAATATTAATGGTGCCATTAAGGGGGCTGGAGGCTTGCTGCTGGAAGACAGAGAAACTAGACAACAGGGTGGTTTCTTGTGTCTGCCCCAGGGGACCCTCTTCCTGGAAGAGCTTCTATTATTATTATTTTTAACACCATGCTTCTCTTTTCTGAATCAGTAGAATTGTTGATTTCAGGCATTCTATGAAAGTAGCTCTGTTATTAAAGCCTTAGCGTAACAAATTCACATAATTAAAAACAATATCTTAACAGTGCCATAGTGGCCATTACCCTTGGGCCTCTTGAGAACTTAATTTCAATTTCCAAAATAATTTGGTTCTTTATTAAAGTCAATAATAAGAGAAAAATCATTGTTAGCTATGTTCTATATTTGGATGGGCTTATTTACATTAAGCATGAGAATTCTATTAAGTTAACCCTGAGAGATATGACAAGGGTCATATATTCAATAAAATTATGATTATAAACCCTTACCTCAATGGGAAAATGTTGCTGAAAAGCTTTTAAAATCTTCCACGACCAGTATTTTATATTATGCTAAATTGAGTTGTGTTAAACATGTGGTTAATAGATTTGTATTCATTTTGCTTTTTTTAAAATGTTCTAGTGGCTTGACATTTTAAAGCACTGAAAATCAAAAGCAGACATTGTGTTTGCATATTTGTATATTTCCCTTCATAATCAGAAACTTGAGTGAAAGGGTACTTATTCATTGAACAGCATTTTGTTTAGAATTTAGCTGCTGGGGTTATAATTCAGTGTGATTCAGTAGCACGTGCAAGGCTCTGGGTCCCATCGCCAGCTCTGAAATAAAACTACCCAGCTCAGAATTTAGAACTAAGGCTACCCGTCACGCTTTAGTGGCACTGTGTGGAGCCAGGTGCTGGCAGGTATGGCTGCTGTAACACACTAGGCAGGGTTAGACTAAGGCGCGGCAAGAGAGGCATCTGTTCCTGGTGGAGGATCTAAGATGGTCACAGAATCTCATTCATCCCGAGGAATAGTGTTTTAATGCAAACTCCCTAAGATGAGAAAATGTCTATGATGGAAATAAATCAAGATTTTAAATGAGAACAGCCTCTGACAGGAGCTTCATATATCCTCACATACCTGGGGAGCCTGAAGCCAGGCCTCACGTAGCCCGGCATGCCTAAGGGAGGCCCTGAGTTAGGCCTGGTTCCTCTACCTTCATATCCTTACACAAGACAGCACATTGAGTCTAGTTTTACTATCTAACATTGATGTTAATCATTCTTGATGTTCTGGTGGAGTTACTAGAAGATTCAAATCAGCTGAAAAAAAAAATAGATTGAAAACACACAGGAAGGCTCACTGCAAACAAAATTTACGTGTTTATGTAAAGTCTGGGTGGCAGGCCACAGGACTTCAAACCATGGCGATGATTTGCCAGGCGAGAACTCTCGGCAACCATCACATTTGACGATCGTTGCCAATCTTTTCCTTTTTATTCTCGCTCTTAAAAATTGATTTATTTATTTTTAACTGTGTGTGTGCATGTGTCTGTGTGCGCTTATGTGTGCCTGAGTGTGATTGTCAACAGCAGCTGGAAGAGGGGATCTGGAGTTATGAGAGGATGTGAGCTCCCCCTCCCCCACCCCCACGGGTGCTGGGAAGGCTGTCTCTGGTCCTCTACAAGAGGAGCAGGACATATAGACCATCTCTGTGCTCCTTTCCACACATACATTTTGTTTGTTTGTTTGTGAGATGGAGTCTCATGTAGCCTACGTAAGTAGACAGTCCTCTATGTGGCCAGAGATGATCTTGAACTGCTGATCCTTTCCATCCCAACTTCCAAGCCCTAGGGTTACAGGCATGCGTGTGCTCTGAGGGGTCTGACTTCTTAAATGTGCTTATCAGATGACAATGAGCTGAGGGACTTGGACATAATGATAGGATCCTCCATCTCTTCTGTTTTGTTGTTGAATATAAAAATGTGAATCGTAAGAGACAGAGAGATGCTAAAGAAACCTACAGCTTATTTTAAATTTCCCTGCAAAGCACACTGGATACAGGATTGGTCTCTTCTTTGCCTAAGCCGTCTCCCTATGGTTGGTGCCAGTGGGTGGCAGGTGCTTTTCCTGTTGCTTCCATATGCCTGACATTGACCCCTTTTCATTCTTGCCCACCTTGTGGGGAGCTTCGTAGGTCATTTCCGCCTGAAGTGTGCCTCAGATCCTCTGCCGCTCTGCAGTGATGGAATGGTCTCCACCACTCACTCAGTGCCCACTTCTAGAGTCCTGGTTGTTTCTAAGCTTTATCCAATTCTCTACTGGATTTATTTTCCAGTGCATGTCTTTTCAGCGTAACTGTTGCTTTCGAGGTACATTGTAAAACCCTTGCAGAATCGCCCTCCAAGTGGCTGAGATCAGTACCAAGAGGGATTGGTTGGCCTTCCTTCTCTTCCGGTGACATCCAAGGTGCTCAGCAAACTGCCTTTATACACAATAGGAAAGTTTTGTTTGTTTGCTTAAAGCAAACAAATGGATTTCATGCATGTAAAAGCGACAGGCAAACACCGACTCTTGACTCACGCGTGGAATGTGACTGCTCTCACCCTAGGCCAAGAAGCAATGTTTGGTGCCATGTGGAAGGTGATCGTTTCATTGATCCTGTTTATGGTCGGCCCTGGTGATGGGCTTTTTCGCTCCATATACCGAACTGCCCGTGTCTCCATGCCATTCATGGGAAATGCAGGACAGCCTCTGTTCCTTACTCCTTACATCGAAGGCGGGAATATCAAGAAGGGTAAGTGTCAGAGAAAACTGCTGCTTCGAAATTTGATTTGATTTGATTTTACTGCTACATTTCAGTGGTATTTAAAAAAGCAATTATTTATCCCCCAAGATGTGAAATACATGTCAGTATTTTTAATTCTGTTGTTTTATTTCAAATACTAATGACTTGACACCATGTAGTTGTTTGAGCTCTGAACTAAAATGAGGTAGTCAGGGGAAGGAAGGAATATTTATGTGTTTAAGTTGTAGCCTTTCTCTTCATAAAACCTGTGAGTGTCTCCCAGCGGGATGGTATTGACAAAGCCACTACAAATCTTGCAGCTTTCCCCTGTCATGGACTTATTCACACTCGTCAACAAAGTAAGGTTGTGCCCATGTAGGAAGATTGAGGTAGGAGGTCCAAGGAGCTGCCAGAGTTCACACAAATGCCAGCTGGGCATACACATAGGGCTTTCCTTCACCCACTCTTGACTCTGACCTGCATGTTATCCACAGTCTACACCTCAGTTTCCTTGTTAGTAATGTAGAGACGAAACAGTTTACATAACATGCAAGAATGTCAGGAAAATCTAGTGAGAAAAAAAAAAAACAAAAACAAAAACAGAAAATTCTTCATATCCTGTAAATTTCTTCCCCAATCTTAGTATTTGCACAGGTTTCATTAAGAGACTATCAGGGGGTTAATATCTGTCAGTTAGTAGAAAGAAGTCACATTTGGTGTTATTAGGCTAATTTGTACAATTGCATCTGCTCTTACTGCGGGTCTTGGTGCTTAGGTAAGTCATGACGGCCACAAAGAACCTCATCTGTGGGAACTCAGTTGACCCCTGAGCTACAAATAGTACACAGGCTCTGGCGTTGAGCAATTGTTTGTACAAAAAAGCAGAGGACTGGGCTGGCGGCCAAAAAGGGTAGAGGAAGGGTCTCAAAGAGGAGACAGACAATGAGTGTTTGATGAAGGAAGGGGTGGGTGAGGTGGGATCTGAGCAGCTGCTGGCAGGGACAGAGTGGGAGAGATGCAGAGGACGGGCTTGTCCAGAACCTGAAGCTGTGCCCAGTGCAGCTGGAAGGTTCGATGGAATTGTGGATGGAAGAGACCAGAAATTTCAGAAAAAAATTTCAGGGCTCCAATGATCAAAAGTCTAAATACTCTACCAGGAAGTTTAAAATAAAGCAGTTTCCTCAATAGAAGGGTCCCCAGACCAATATGACGTCATCAATTTTGTTTTCTTTAAAAATCAAAGGGGTTTGAATCCTGCCTTCTCGGCTTCTCTGTGAAATCCGCATAAGCTCTAGAGTTTGCCAACTCTTTGCAAAGAGAGTTGTAAAGGTCTTCATTGTGCAATTAGAATATTTTTGAAAAGGATCCAGTTTGACTTTCTGCACAAAGTTCTCAGAAAGATGGCTGCCCTGTCACACAATAAAGGTGTATTTGAGTCAGAAACACATAGTCATCCTGACCCCTCAGTGCTGGACTGCACTCAGTTCAGCTTCCTTAATAACTTGAGACTGATGATCAAGAAGTCAGGGGGAAAAACTGTTTAACATATAGCTGAAAAGAAGTAAGTCATTAAAACCAAGTCTTACCCAACCTTATTACAGGATTTGCCCAAAGGGGAAGCAGGTCTCAGAGCAACTCTAATACAGAACATATAATTATAGTTCCCATTGTGAAGATGAGCAAACCAAGGCTCTGGGAGGATAAGTTTCTTACCCAGATCTATAGAGCCAATAAACGGGCAGATCTGGGATCACAACCTCTTGCCTGTCATCACACTATGAACTGCTGTGCCATGTGACCACCTCCTGATATGGTAAGGTAAGACATGGGTGACCCAAGAAGGGTCTTCATTAAGTCAGAGAAGCCATGGCATGTCTGCCTCCATGTGGCAGAGCAGAGGGAAGAACAATGGAGAATCCCCTCCACCCCCCCACCCCCCAGCAATTGGTTATCCCCATTTCTCCTCTTGCTGTTTCTCTGGCCTGGGAGCATTCCACAGTCATGGGCATACACAGTAAGGGGAGAACGTTTGACCTTTAGTCCTTTGGTAAGAAGCCCAGCAGATCTGTATAGTAGGAATGGCAGCATTCATGATACCGACTGATGTGCAGCTTCCATTGCTAAAGTTGAGTTTCGGACGTGCCATCGCTGAATGTAATTTGTGTGTGGATCCAGAAGCTGGCACATCTGGGGACTCAGATGCTGCCCGACAACATAATTAAGGATAATTTTATTCATCCACTTTCGTGAAAGTTCAGGGAGCTGTGGACAGATGGTCAGCTCTCTCTTTAAATCCCTGTTGTTAATGGAATCTGTCAAAGCGGCAGGAATGGGAGTCTTAACATCGAAACAGAACATTGTCGAGATAAGCAGTAGTTCACAGAAAGACAAGGGGAGGTTTTTTTTTTTTTTTTTTTAATACCCAATTAGCTAGCTTAATTTTATATAATTGTAATTGCATGTTTGCTTTCTCTGAGGCTAAAATAAATCCTTACATTCCGGAATAAAATGAACACAGAAGGCAATTTTTAGCATCTTTATAAACATTATATTTTGTTACGAATTCTAAAGGGTATTTTGCTGCTGGGTACTGATTTGTTCCTTGTGGACTGAAAGTGTGTTGTCTACACTGGGGATGGCTGGGTGTTTGTGGATCTAACCCAAATTGGCTGCTTCCACCCTTCTCTGGCCACACTCCAATTGTTCTCAGAGAGTTAATGTCACAAACACTGTCGACAGCAGTAACCAGCAAAGAGGGAAGTGAGAAGACTTCAAAGAAAACCCTTTCCTTCTTTAACTGTTTTCAAACATTTATATTGTGTGTTACAGTGCCAGAAAGATAAAACATCTGCACGTGGGAACCTATTTTCCAAGCTCCATTAACAGCTGCCTCTGGACTAAGGATGAAAGACACATTGAAACATGTTTAAAAATCATGTCAGTTGAGGGAACTCTTCATTATCTTATGGTGATTTGTGAATGGGAATTTAAAATATGAAACAGGGGCAAAAACCGTTCTTCCATTAAATAGAAAAGGGGTCTTTAAAATTTGTTAAGATATTGACAAGGTCTGTCTTCGAGAGGGGTTTGTAGAACTATACTAATCCTGGTGCAGCGTCAGTGGCCACTCACACATTTATTCATTCACCTGCCCATTCATTATTATTCACTCATTAAAAAGCATGCTATGTCTTAAGTTTGTGAAGCATCGTGCTAAGTCCCAAGGGTTCAGAGATGAAGTGAGACATATTCCCTATTTTCCTACAGCTCCAGCGGGAGGAGAAGAGGGACAGGACATGCCTAAGTATAAGTTAGTAGAGATGCAACCTGGCCATGCCCAGGAGAGAGGGACAAGCGAACAGCCAAATCAATCTAGAGCAGGCCAGCAGACCTGTGCTTCGATGAGAGACAGATTGATCCAATCATCTCTTGCCCGTATTCCATTCCCTCCAGCTCCTGTCTATTATATACTTTCTCTTTTTCTCATTATACTTTGACTTCTCTCATTTTTCCCTGTCGTCTATCTCAAATCCTGTCCTGCCCATTACCTCTTTCTGGATTGTACCTCACTCATCCCAGCCTTCAGTGTTTGCTCCTCACTCCTTCTTTTTGAGGAATGGATGTGAGTCTTTTTGATGTTGAGAGGATGATTCATGGATTTGCTTATGGTGTCTCCTAAGCATGGTAAGGGCTTTCCAACCCTGGAGTGTGGTCTTTCTTTGGGTTGAGAGTAGAAGGAGAGGAGGAAATGACAGTTGGGGGGAAGAGCTGGAGCTGAGGCAAGGCCAGTGTCTGTCCTACTATTGTGAAGAGACACCATGACCACGGCAATGCTTATAAGAGAAAGCATTTAATTGGGGCTGGCTGACAGTTTCAGAGGGTTAGTCCATTATCATCATGGTGGGGAGTATGCTGGCATGCGTGTAGACATGGTGCTAAAGAAGTGATTGAAAAAGTATGTCATTCTGATCTGAAGGCAGAGAGAGAGAGAGAGAGAGAGAGACTGACATAGACAGACAGAGAGACAGAGACAGACAGAAACAGACAGAGAGGCTGTGCCTGGCATGGGCTTTTAAATCCTTAAAGCCCACCCCAAGGGCTTCCAACAAGGCCACGCCTCCCAATCCTTTTCAAATAATGCCACTCCTTAGTGACTAAGCATTCAAATACAGGAGCCTATGGGGGCCATTCTTATTCAAACCAAGCCAGAAAACATCATATTTTCCAACACTTCTCTTTATTTTCTCTTACAATTCTCCCTCCTCCCCCCCCATTTTGTCACTTTTGGTGGGAGTATTAGTCCATTTTCTATTGCTGTAGCTGATTCACACAGACCAAGCATTTTAGAAACAATGTTCTGAAGGCCAAAGAGTCCAAGAGCAGAAGCTGAATCTGGTGACATCATTCTGGGTGTGGGCGCTTTAAAGATCCCTGAAACAGCACAGGCCAACATGGTCTTAGCTTACGGTTCTTTTCTTCTTTTACAGACACAGTCCTATTGTATTGGGGCCCTACCCTGATGGTCTCATAAACATTCATCACCCACCAAAGCTCAGCTTTCAAACACTGAATTTTTTTACCCTCTTGATACCTCAAAAGGAGGATTCAACTCCCAACATGAGTTTTGAGGGGGACATATAGGCACAAGTACTCCTGGAAGGAGAGTGGGCAGAACTGTGGGAGGCATCGGGAGAGCCAAAAAGGGCAAAGCTTCCAGACTTCCATGCTTCCTTTAAGGGTCACTTCCCACAGGCTGAGGCCCTGCCTGCTATAAACTGAATCTTGTTTTTTGTCGGGTTGCCTCTCAGGTACATTCACAAGTGCTTTTTGCTGATCTTCACAGAAACCCTGAGGTAGGGTAATCAGTGTCTACATTTTGAGTTTATGAGGGATTGACTTTGGATTATAAACCAGGTCTGTCTGACCAGAAAGCCCACTTGCTATCAGGCTATCCCAGCTGGATCCTCAGATCACTTCCCATTGAGACCCATCTTTGTCCCACCACCATCTCCTTCCTCAGCTTATGCCTGGTCTCAGTCACCGCTGGTAGTTTACAGACAGCAGTAGCCATATGCTCTGCGCAGGTCAGCTTCTTTTTCTTTTCTTTCCTCTTTCTTTTTCTCTTGTAAGTATGTGCCTTAGTTTGAAGGCCAGAGGACAATGTTGGGTGTCATCCTCGGTAATATTACCCACCTCCTTTGGGACAGGCTTTTTCTCATCAGCCTGGCACATGCTGATTGGTCAGACTGGCAGGCCAGCAAGCCCCAGGGGTCCTGCCTCTGCTTCCTCGGCACTGGGTGGCAAGCACCCATCACATAAGCTGACACTTGATGTGCGTCCTTGGGACTCAAGCCAGGTCCTTATGCTTGCCAGGCAGACACTTTACTGATGGTGGGATCTCCTGAGACCCTAAGTTGGTTTCTCTTGACAGGCTTGGACATGTCATGTATCTGTTCCTGTGGACACATAAGGGGTGCACTGGTCTCAGTTGAGAAACTGCAGCATGGAGGGAGGATGGCTGCCGCTACTGCTGCCAGCAAGGGTCACAAACCTGGCTGGGCAGTGTGCTGGGGAATGCAAAGGAAGAGGTCAGGGAAGTGTGTTCCAGAAGTGCACCCACTGGGAAAGGCACGCCCATTTCTGAAAAGGAAGTTGTGGTCTCAAGGCTGTGTGTGTGGTATGTGGGAGAAAGGCCCTGGATTTTACATCACTTCCTGTAGGTTTGAATGCTCTTACCATGGTAGATTCCTTTTCTCTGTCAGTGGGGATCATTAGTTGATGGCGTGTTCACCTCTCCTGCAGTCTCCAATATAATGTGTCTCAGACAGAGATGCTGCTCTGGAGTGACTCCTCACTGAAGGACGCTTCCCTTTCACCCACGTTTCCCGTCTGCTCCCTCCCATGTGCTTTAACACGGACTGTTGGTTCCCTTTCAGCCCTGTTCCTTGTTGCCACTTCTCTCTCACTTCTTGTCCCCTGTGATGCTTCAGCCTTCTAAAGCAGGGAAGAAGAAACAGCCCTGCAGCTGACTGCAGCTACTGGGGGTGCGCCTCAGTTCCTCTACAATGCTGGGAGACCCTGGGCAAATTACCCAACCTTTTTATGCTTCTCTTTGGTCTCTTTTGGCCTTGTAAGTCTTGGCTTCCATCGGTGTCATTTGGTCAAAGGCCTCCCAGGCTGGCTGAGCATGTCTTCTTTCTCCTTTTCTGTCACTTTGCTGGCATCAGAAATCCAGGGCCTCTGCCTTCCACCACTGTTCCTATTCTCTTCGGTGCTCTGTGCGACCATGAGGTCACCCTAGGCTCAAAGCCTGACTCTAGCCACTCTGAGCCCTCAGGCCTAATCTGTAAGAGGCAGGTAGATTTCGCGCCCCTAACAAGAAGGTGGCCCTCAGGCTGCCTCAAGACTTGCAGCGACTTAGTTTGTTTCCCTGTACCCTGTCTCCTATGTCCTGCCTACTCGGTGGGACAGTAGAAACGCCTGAGGTACTAAAGTGATAGAGAAGATGGGTGATTTCCTTTCTTAAAAAAAAAACAAAAAACAAAACAAACAAAAAACCAAAACCTACAAAGACTTGGATCCTGGCCCCCTTTTCAGCTTCCTTTGACCTTGGCCTCACTGTGAATGGGGAGTCTGTGGGATCAGCTTCTCATACTGGCCTGGTGGGCAGCACAGGCCTCCCCAAGCCTGAGCTGGGGAGAGCATGAAGCATGTTCTCTAAACCCTTCCATACATTTTCTTTTTCCTCGCCAGGGCAAGAGAAGAGCATAGTCAGTCCGTTCCCTGGAATGAACTTGAAGAGTTATTCTGGCTACATCACGGTGAACAAGACTTACAATAGCAATCTCTTCTTCTGGTTCTTTCCGGCTCGGGTAAGTGGCCAAGGCCTGTAGCAGAGAGCCAAGAGACAGCTCGGTCCAGGTGGAGTGAGCTTGCAGACCCAGGCGCTTTGTTATTTTCCTGTGTGTGTGTGTGTGTGTGTGTGTGTGTGTGTGTGTGTGTGTACATGGAGGCCAGACATCAGTGTGTCCTCCTCATTTGCACTTCACCCTGGTTTCTGAGACAGGGTCTCTCGTTGAACCTGAAAGTGGCTGGCAGGATCTGTATGCCTCTGTCCCTGAAATGCTGGGCTTACAAACCTATGCTACCAAACCCATCTTTTTAAGTGGGTTCTGAAGATCCAAACTCAGGGCCTCATGTCTTCATGACAAGCATTTTACACTGATGGATCTCCCCATGTCTGTTTGCTTTTCTTTTTAAAATTAGCATACAATAGGTTACACAGTAGGTCAGAATTGACACAGTAACAGATTTCATTAAGGAATTTCAATATGCTGTTTTTTTTTGTTGTTGTTGTTTATTCTTCTTCCTCATTTCTTCCTCATCAGCCTCCCCTCTGACCCCTGTTACTACTTTTAGACCATATGATCTATTACTCTCCACCACTTTCCTCAAAACTCCTGTGTTACAAGTTTAAGACTCCTTAAAGAAAAACTTACATATTCTTCTAAAAACAAACAAACGTTTGTGGAGGTGATGTGGAGAATCCAATTTAGACCCACCTCTTCTTTATAGAGCACCCCCTATTTATAGTAACACATCAACTCTGTTTCTGCCAGTCTTCCTTTTAATTGTTGTTTTATCCAAATAATGCTTGGGACAGTGGGTGTGTGGGCATTGGAAAGAGTCAGGGAAGGTAAGAAGCGGAGAACTGCTGAAACTAACAGTTACCAGGCTAACATGGCCTTTAGGGGCTACTCACCTAGGTCCCTAGAGATAGAGGAGAAGATGCTTTTGAGCTCACCAGTGAAGTTTTACTCATTCTCAGGTCACACAGTTCTTTATGGACAAGACACACTAAGGTTGAAAGTACCTTTGGGGCTCTGGGGTCAAGAACGTATGCAGTACATCAACACTTTAAAGCCCACCACAGAGCCGTTTTCTATTTTCATTTGCCAAATTGGATTTGCTTTAGAAGCTAGAGAAAGCAAAGCAAGGCCTAGCTGGGTGGAAGTTAGAGTTCACATTTGCATATGATTTGCATACAACCATGTTGCATTTTTAATAACCTAGTAGATTGCTTCATCCACTGTCACTGCGAACTGGAATAGTTTACTTACTGGTACTCTCCCGCTGTGTTTTCTTACTTCTCTCTCCTAACCACACGACCTCTGATGTAGTTCACTTCATAGTATTCTGTCCTTTGGAGAATGGAGGCGGGCAGGTGAGGAGTGGAGAATTTCAGGTGTTTATGGTTGGGTCTTTGGACCCTCACTGTCCCTGTTGGGCTTTCCTGGTCTCTGAAGGGGTTATTATTTCTTCCTTTGTATGACTGTTGAGTCGGTAATTGAGGAGCCCGAAGGACAGAGTTTTGGGACAGGCTTGTGTTGCAGATGAGGGACAGATGTGGAGAATTGGCTGTGTCCACAGTACCTGAGTACAGTCTCTCTCCCTAGGCGCCTGCCATTGGTAGAATCCAGCCCGCAGGGAGGCTGAGGGGTGCTCCCTTGAGCCTCCCAGCAGAGCCCAGCAGGATGAAGGATTCTAATGTGTCTTCAACAGCAAACAGCCCAGATGTCTCAAGACCACTTGACCTAAATGAGGCCCCAAAATATTATCTTATCTTACTACGTGGAGACTTTTCGTGTTGTGTTTGTTTCAGAGCTCAGGGTTGTGCTCACACTCTTCAACTGAAGATCTCTGTGAGCTCCCTGCGTGGCTTCACCTTGCTTTTTGCCTTCCCATCATGTGTATTCCTTCTCTCAAGCCTTGTCCTCTCCTTTCTTTGTTTGATTCTCAAATCCGAAGTTTCACTGTCGTTGTTTCACATTGACTTAGGACACACACATAGACACACACACACACACACACACACACACACACACAATTACATTTTGTTTTGAGATGGGGTCTTGCTATGTAGTCCAGGCTAGACTTGAACTAGTGATGATTTTTCTTTCCTCAACTTCCCTAATATAAAACCACACTTGGCTATTTAGCAAAATTTAATCTGCACATAAAAGTCATACCTCTTTATTGGCTACCATGTGATGTTTTGATAATCTGTATACTACGTGATGTTCCAATATCAGTGTGATGTTCAAACCCAGGTGCCCATGTTCATCTCTTATAAACATCTATTTCTTTGCGGTGAAAATGTTCAAAAACACTTTCTTCTATCTTTGTTGGAGTGTACAGCACATTATTGTTATCTACAGACATGGTGCTACACATACACCTGGGACATCATCCTTATTGTAGCTTTGTACCTATGGGGCTAAATTTGGGAACTAAACCTTGCCCCCGTCTTTCCTCCCCCTTCCTCTCTTCAGGATACTGCTCTGTCCCACAGTGGTCCTCATCTTCATCAGAAAGAAGTGCTCACAGAAGCCAAGCCCAGGTGGAAGGGGAATGCAGTGGGCTGCATCTCTTTGGGGTATAGGCTGGCATGAGGGTCAGCTTTCCAGCTCCTGCTGGGCATTTTACTGAGATATCTCTGGGCGCAGCCTCTCATACCACTTTTCTTTTTCAGTCATCCCTGCCTCCATCCCAGCTAGTGAAGACTGATTCTGAACTTTCTCTTCTTCTTTGTCCATCCTGCCTTTGTATTGACAAGTTCATCATCAATGTCTGAATGTTGCATCTTCAGTTATTATTTAGATTTTGGAAAACAGCAATTAGTCATGAGAACAGGTCAGAGAAGAACCAAACAACATAAGGAGGTTTTCTTTTCTTCTGTTTCAAGCTGGCAGGCCTGGTCTAGCATGGCTTTGCTGGACTGGAAAAGGGGTGCAGTTTCTTTATGCTCCACGAGTTCAAGGTTAGTCTGTTGGCTTGCTAGCCCCACCCCCACCCCTTTATTAACGGAGAATATAGCTGTTCATCCATCCACTGGGTTGATCCATTTCTACAGCCACAAATACATCCCAAGATGGTTCCAAAAGTCCTGCTAATGTGCCATCTCAAAACAAAGATCTTAGGCTCAGGGTTTTGCAGGAGGTGGCAGGTAAGCTTACGGGAGAAGGCAGAGTTCATGAAAAGGCCATGGGATTGGCAGGTGTAGCAGGAAAGGGTTGTACAGCATTTCATTGGGATGCCCACAGGCACTGTCAGGTATCCGAGGCTTCCAGCTGGGGAATAAGAAACAGGGTGGAGCAGTTACAGCACCCAAGAAGGAGCAGCTGTCAACCAAGATGAGGGATGTCCCTTTCATTTGACAGATATATGAGTCTCTTGCCTGTCCGAGGGAAGCAACTGAGATTGTCATCAGGAGAAAAATGATCCCCTTGGAAAAAAAAAATGAGGGTAGCAAAAATAGCGGTCCAGGAAGGATGCTGCACTCAGAGCATCCTCTGAGTCATTTTCTGGATGCTGCTTCTCAAATTAGTTTTGTTTTCCTGTTATTTCTGCACGACTCCCCTGTTATTGTCTACAAATCAGTGCATAATGAATTCCAGAAGTCAAAATCAGCGTGCGGTGGAAATACTGCAGGGGAAACAGCAGGCTTTCTGCCTGGGCTGGGTGACATACTGTAACGGATAGAAGACATATTTTTGGTGGCTGCAGCTGGGGGAACATGAGCTGCGTGCCACCCCCACCCCCTTGCCTGAACCAGAATTTAAGGTTAAATCTTTCTCTGGACATTGTCGCTTTCGACTATCAGGTGTCACATCCCGAGAAAAGTAATTCCAGGAGGTCCTGGGGTACAGAAACTGGAGTTATGGTCTCTGGAGTTAGTCAGGCTTGGGTGCAAACAGTGTCCCCAGCACTTACCCACATTTCCCAGCAGCATCAAACATCTGTTGTCTCAGTTCACAGTGAGAATCAGAGCACTGCCTGACCTGGGTCTCAAGACAAGAAGGGGTTAACGAAGACAGCTGATTAGAGGAATACTGGACTCAGACTAAATTTCACACTTATTGTTATGTTCTTGTGACTATTATTACCATTATCACTTTGGTGATACTAGTTGCCACCAATTATTACAGTTTGTGGGCTTTAAAGAAAACAGAGGGAAACTGCAAATCAGAAGGCCCCAGTCATCAAGCAAAAATGCAGATTAATTGCTATTGGATAAGGAAATTACTAAGTGAAACTGGGATTTGTCACACTTCAGAAGATAAAGAGGCCTCTGAAGCTGTCTTCACTGGAAAGAGATAGCCAGATTTTTACCTTATCTTCTAGAAACACAAGTAATTTGTTGTGTTCAGGGTCAGCTCAGCCCCTTCCCTGGGGTCTACCCCTTGCTCTTCTGGCAGAGACAAGGCAAGATTACTGGTGTTCTGTTTTGTTTTGGGTGCCTACAAAAGAGCTGGGACACCGTGAGGCCTGTGAGGGCAAATTACGTCAGCATATGAAGACATGCTCATTTTGGAACCTGCAGGTTGGACCCTCCACAGCCGGATACCAGGAAAAGGATCGTGACACAGGATAAAGCTACAACTCTGCACCCCGGCATCAGAGAATGACAAGGGGCTCTCTGGTTCTCTTAGGCTGAATAAAGTGCTTTCAATGTCAGTGGAGGCAGATGTTCTAAAGTGTCCTGAGAACCTACTGGTTTTTGGGAGTGGAGATGGAAGCTGGGGTCCCCTAATCTGCCACCTCTAGCCAGGTTTTTCCCCCCTCTGGGTGTCAGAACTTCTTTAGAAGCAGAGTATGCGTGGGAGAGGAAAAGAGGTCAGGACTCTTTGTTGCTGATCAGAACCACCTGGGAGCTTCAGAAAACTGACAGCTGCTCCTTTCAGGTCCCCTACTCCAGGATCTGGAGGGTCGAATCAGCATTTTGGATGCACCCCACATCTACCCTAGTGCAGCTTGTCAGGGGTCTTGAACTTAGGAAAAGTGAACTGGAGGAGGTTAGGGCACAGGGATT